GGGTTGTCAGTAATTCTTTTTTGGAGGTGGGGGGGGGGGGAAGCATTAGTTTCATTGGAAGATTTTTTTTTTCACTTTAAGTAGGACATTTTTTCCTGATAAATGAAAAAAAAATGCCACTGAAACTCGTGCTTTATATCTATATTCAAGAATGACAAACTAATATATCTTCCTGAAAAGTTACTTTTGTCTTATTTTGAGTGTAGAGCCTAGTTAAAAATACTCTGTAAGAATTAGTGTTTTTGCAGATGGAGCGATGGAGCGGAAGATGGATTGGTTGGGGCGTCACTTCTGGTGAAGAAAGAGCCGAGCCAAAAAAGTAGCATGACTGATTTACCAATCTTTCTTCATTCCAGCCTACGTTGTAAAGTGTCTGTGGGGGTCCTGAAAAGCACTACACAAGTCTGATGTCATTTTGTTTCATTAAATATGGATCATGGCTGAGAGAATCAGATCGCGAATAGAGCTGGTTTAAACGAGCTCCCTTCAGGGTGCATGGATTCAGCCTTAGAGATAAACTGAAGAGCTTCATCATCTAACTCAGTACAGCTGCTGCTCATCTACATCAAAACATCTGTTGAGGTGGTGCAGAGCATCTTACTGGGATGAATCGTGGATCCTGAAACCTTTTGATACCAAAGCAGACCTGCAGCTTGAAAATCATAATGCATGACCAAACAAGTATTTTTAAAAACTGCTGTTGGTTGGACATACGTTTCCTTTTTTTTTTACCCTTTTATATTGAATTTCCTTTAGACAGACTACTGCCACAAATAAACCTCAGACCACAACACTGGCAAAGTCGGTGTGTGTATAAACCATTCATGCCTGTTGATGCATATTATGCACAAACCAAGGATTGTATTGAAGCACTTTGCTGCCATCTAGTGATCAGAAATATGTCCACTAAATATTAACATTGATATGTTTTCTTCATTTCCAAATCAATCAGTAGGTAACTTAGAAGCTACTTGAAAAAACAATTTATATTTTGTAACTGCAGATAAATTCAAGGAGTCAGAAAGGCTTTTAATGTTAAAACTTGTTTTCTAAACTACCTTCTAACTCTTCAGATTTGAACCTTTTAACCTACAATAATTCATTTCTGAGGGAATATTACCAGTGGACTATGATTTACAATCCAAAATAAATTAGTTTTCAGAGATGGATCTAAAGTAAACTAAGCTGGTAAAAATCAGCCACTTGTTTTACAGTTTTCTTCGTACAGAGAGTCTAGACCTGTGGACTCAACTTGCATTCCTCGAGGGTCAGAGTCCTGCAACTTTTAGATGTGTCTCTTGTTCTTCAAATTTTAATTATATTTGTAATACGGCCTCACTAGCATGCGGTCAAGTTCTGAAAAGCTCTGATAATGAGTGAATATTGGAGCCTGGTGTGCTGAAGCACAGAGACATTTAAAAGATGCAAGACATCAGCCCTTGAGGACTGGAGTTTGAGACCACTGGTCTAGAGACCAGAATATCAGCTATTGGAGGCGTGGACTCTGTTGAAGTTTTAAATTTTACCCAATCGCTAAAGTTTGGCTGTGGTGTATGTTATGTGCCAGCTCAATGAAACTTGCTGTAGATTGCAACCTTGTGGGAAGTAGGGCCACAACATGTTTGCCAGCAATAAAATGTATTATATGTTCGTCTTGCACCAACTTTAATTGTTCTATATTTGGAAGCGTGGCCAACATGGACTGAATGGCTTAGCTCACTTCCCCCCACTGCCATTGCTAAAGCTACAGTCAGGCTACAATTCCAAAACAGTGCAGAAAATCAACATTCACAATTCTTCCTTCCGTTTGCTGATTGGCCAGGATAGAACTCTACCAGAGAAATTGAGCTCAATGGGAGAAATCCCTGACAGAGCAGTGAGGGGATATGAGAACTGAGTGGAACTGCGTGGGAAGGCAGTGGCCAGACTGGATCTAAACAGGATAATACCAAATATGGGTCTGTGGTGTCTGCAGATGTTCATGTGTGGCCTTTTCCAACAAATACAAGCAGATGATTTAAGTGTTTGTATAATATGGATGAGGCAGATCATCCAGTTTGATGCATCCACAGATAGATCTAACTTCCTCCTGGCTTTGCCTGGGAATCAGGATATAACCCCAGCAGCAATATTTCAGGATGTTCATGTGAAAGTCTTTGAAAGTATTATCATAACCAACAAAAGCTCCTAGATAATGAAAAACATAATTTTTGACAGAGACGTCCATCCCCTTAGAAGGACATAGGTTTGATTATCCTAGTGTCTTGTTGCAGGGAAGACGTTTGTGTTTTTACTTTCTCCCCCCGTCTCGCTTTATTCCTCACTCTGTTTTGCCTTCCTCTCCTCACGTGTGAGGCACGGTACAGCCAGATTGTCTTGGCATGGGGCAGGCCGGATTACGTGTGTGTGCAGTCGCTCATTACAGAATAGATTACTACCCCTCCGGTCTGAGGAGCCGCGAGTGACGAAGGAAGCCACAACAAAACAGTCAGCAGAGCAGCAGAGAGAAGAACAATGAGTGTGACTGTGACCTCTGCGTTTGTAAAAGGAAACTGTTCAGCGTGTAAGCTTAATAGGCGCTTTAAAGCTGCAGCCTTATTGTTATCTCTCCTCCCTCACCTTCTCACCTACATATTGCGTAGTGTGGCACATGCAACGGCAAGTGAACACAATGAGCTTTGTGCTGCGGGACAAAGCAATCCTGACGTCCCAAACACAAGATAACCTTCAACATAATTAGGCCCTTCTACGCAAATGATTAGTGTGTGATTAAACTACAAGCAGAAAAACATTTATTCAAACTTTGATACTTCATTAGTAGTTTTTTTTTAAATTATTGGAGCAAATTACACCTACTTGGTAGGACCTAAAAAAGGTGTTGACATGCCATTGCTAACAGCGCTTAATTTGGCAGTAAATATGATAGAGCTGCCATGTATTGTGTAGACTTGTGTTTTCTGTGGTCTTTAAGTCATTATTTCCTAGTTGATGTTTCTTCAGGGTACATTCCTCAATTTGAGCCCCAGATTCTGATCTAGCACACTGCTATTTCATTAATTTTTTTCCCCATTTCGTAACAATGTACAGTTTAAGACCTAAATTACTCACACCAATGGTAGATGCGGAATGAGAAATATTTTTTATTGAACCAAGAATTTGGTTTCTGATAGAAAGACGGGGGGTTTCTTTAAAAGATAATAAACAATTTGAAAGGAGTATTCATTTCTAAAATAATCATCAGTCAAATTCAAATATTTACGGATTATTTCTTGAACACAGCTGCAGCACAGAAATTAAATCCCTCTCATAGGTTTGATCAGATTTTTGCATGTTTCTACTTGTGTGCCGATCTTTGGCAAAAAGCTATTTGAGGTTGGAAGTCCTTCTTATCATAACCCTAATTATTAATATAGCTTCCCCCAAAGAGACTCAAATCAGAAAACTGAGTCAGAAGAAACATGCTGGTAAAATTATAAAATGACTTAAAACTGCTTAAGATATAAATTATTCTGGGATTAAGCATAATTTAACTGTTACATATGAGTTTTCTTTCTTTTGATTGTCAAACGTTTTCGCAAATTATGAAGATAAATATTCAGAAAATGCTCCAGTCTCTTGGTTTCTGATCAAAAACATTCAAATGTTAAAAACTAATAATGCAGAAGGAGTCTGATGGAAATAAGCCTCAAGTTTTCTTAACAAAACCAGCAACTAAAATATCAGTAAAGTTGCAGTTTAAGATCCTTATTGTTTTCTATTTGTTTCTCTTTTATTTCAGAAAGTGCTGAGGCCAAAAATGAATTATTTTCTTTCAATTTGTGTGATAAAGTAGCTGCCTTTACAAAAAAAATCAGCCTTTGTCACCACTGTTGTTATTAATCAAATGTATTCTAGCTAAACTCGGTTTTTGCCGGGCCTAGTTATTCAGAACATTGCAGTAGGAGCCTAAACATCTGTTTTGAACAGAAAAGGACAGAAACGCGTATCGTGGCCTCAACTGATGCGGACAGTATGACTTTGTGCAAAGTGCTCGCTATGTAATGACTTTTTATTGACTAAGAGTCATTACATTGTTATATTAATTGGCAGACTGACTTAATGATACCTCGAAGTGTATTCATGCATGATTGTATTTTCCTGCATAATTTACGCTCTTTTTAATAACTGCCACTAACTAACTTTCCATGGTGTACACACACACACAAACACACACACACACCCTGATTCCTTCACGTTCTGACTCTGACACACACTCCCTCAGTATCCTTGCATAGCCTCGGCACAGCGCTGCCTCTCACGGCTCCGTGTGAATGAAAGTGTGTGAGTAAGCAGCAATGATCGGCCTGTCACTTCCAGCAGGTGCTCGGTATGCAAAGCAAAGAGGATGACAAAACCATAGATGGAGGGAGCAGGGAACTGTTTGCTACGAGAGAGAGGAGCAAAAAAAAAAAAACCTTGTTTGTGCTGTTGATGGTGGTGGAGCAGAGACAGATAAAGAGGATAGAGAGGGGAAGAGGAGGGGGGATAAACATGGTGATGGAGAGGGAGTGAGAGGGAGCGAGAGGGGGGAGGAGCAGAGAAATGATTCCTCTCTAATCCTCTAGACACACGCTCGGTCTGGCTGCCTCCTGGCTCAGAGAGGAAGAGGGAGACGGAGGCAGGTGAAGGCAAACGGAGAGAAACCAAGAGGGGGAAAGGAGGGGGAGAAAAAGCAAGATGAAGGAAAGAGAAGAAAGCAGAACTGCCTCTCTGCATGCTGCGCGCTGAGACGGGAGGGGAGAGCCGCCGCGAGAGCCAGAGAAGCATGCAAGTCTCTGAGTGTGAGGAAGGAGCCTGAGGAGGAACACGATGCTTGAGTCCTGCTGTTCCTGAACCAAACCGGGAGAGTACGAAGGCGCAACAGGAGGGAGGGCGAACAGAAGGGAAACCCTTGAGAAAAGAAATAGAATAAAGCGCAAGATCAAGAGAAGCCCGGGAAAAGAAACGCGACGAAGAGAATGGAGGAGAGAATCACAAGCAAGGAAGCAGATCCTCCGGCAGCCCAGCTCACATGAACGCGTGGAGCCGAGCCTGACCAAACTTACTACTTCAAGATGCTGTCAAAGAACGAGCGTGAAAGGGCGGAGTGTTGGTGATGGATGTCCGCCTGCACGCACCGCTGCTGCTTCTTCAAACTGAGCAGGAGTAGATGAAAGCTGCGCTCTCCTCTGATCCAGGTGTGTGTGAGGGAACATATGGCCAGGCAGATGTTTGGGAAGTGAACGGAGACCAGGAGTCGCCAGAGCAGAAGCAGAGAGGAAGGAGAGGGGTGGG